GTGCGGCGTCGGTCAGCGAGGCCGGCCTCTCTCGCGCTCTTTGTTGTGTGCGGGCCCGGCCTCCAGCTTGTAATCATCCCCCTGCCTCGGCCCCCTTCTCTAGGGCCCGCCGGGATGGCGAGCGTGCGGGAGCCGCCACCCCGCCTGTCCCCCGCCAGGTAGACGGACGGCGTGCGGCGCGTCTGAGGTTGCCCCGGTTGCTGCAGTCGCCTTGGCCGTCTTGCCTCTTGTGTGTGTGCGCGCGTGTAGCCCCCAGAGATCAGAGGGTACTGTGGCCAAGTGTTCTTCCCACCTGGCTCCCTCGTCCTTCTTGATCGCCTTTCCTTGACGCTCCTAGTTGTTGTTCTGCTTAACGTCCCTACCAGAACTGTTTACTTTTTTTTAAAGTTTTTTTTCTCTCTCTCTTTATGAGCATGACATCTTTTTTGCTTTTGGTCGTGACCTTTGCTTCTACTAACTCTAGTCGCCTTAGATTTTTTTTCTTTTTGGTCAAGGTTCTCCAACATCCCACTCAACCGAAACGAAAACTTCCCTTGAAGTTATTCTCAGGTGGAGGCTGAAGATTGAAATTCAAGTCATGGCACACCGGAATGTCACACATCTTAAATGTTTTCCCTGTGCACCGTAGCAGCCCAGTCATGCCCACTGGGTGTTTGCTTTGAACTAGCCAGGGAGCGTTGCCTGTTGGTCTGTCCGCTTCATTTGCTTCTAATCAGAAATAAAAGTGTCCCCCCCCCCCTTTTTTTTTCCCTACTGTTACTAATATGAAAGTGTTTCTCTTTCTTTTTAATGTCAGGTGTTAGATATATAGATAACAGTGGGCATACTTTTTCTTTTAACGTGTTTATGTGGGGGTATTGACATACCCATGTGGGTGCCAGAGGAGGTCAGAGCCACAGGATCCCTTGGAGCTGGAGTTATAAACAGTTGCCAGCTGCCTGGTGTGGATGCAGAGAACCAGACTCGGATCAGGAAAGCAGACATAGGACATTTATAAATTGTAGCATGTAAGACATTCATTTACACACACACACACACACACACACACACACGCACGCACGCACACGCACAGGCACACGCACACGCACACGCACACGACAGAAAAAGTCCACGGTCCCAAGACTGCTGGCTCAAAAGCCTTTGTTGTTTTCACTGTGCTTTATGGCTTCTAAGGAGACTTTATGCAAATGTCCACCTCTGGGGATGGTACAAGTCTGTAGTATTTAAATTACCCTGTGCACAAGGCAGAGACCTTTAGTCTCCAAAAAAACAAGACCGTGAGGAATTGGACTCTGTTGAAGTCGTTTTCCCACCTCATTTTATCAGATTTCTTGGGGGGTCAACTTCTCTGTTTTTACTTGCTGATGCTTGAGGTGAGAGGATGAGTTAGTTCCTAGTTCTTAAGGAACCAGAGGATTTTTTTTTTCCAAATTCAGATTGTATCTGTGTCTGTGTTTACTGCGGGATTGTACAGTATCACCCCAGAGAGGTGCCAACATGATTCAGGGCTTTCTGTTCTGAGAAGGGTGGATGCCAGACAGCTCATGGCTGACTTTAAGACACTATAGTAGCACTCTCCTCATTCCAGCAGTGCCTAAAGAAATGCCAAGGCTTTTGATGGGCACAGCATACTGTTACATCTGGATTGTCAAATTAAGTGAAATGCTGCTGTGGTATTTGTTTGACTTACTGAGATTCATACCTGGTTGAACTTGCCTCTTAAAAGACATAATGGGGGTGGAGAGGCTGCTCTCGGTCTCTGTGAAGTCACCGTCAATAAAATGTCAGCCATGATTGACATTTATAAAGTTTCTGAAGTAGGCTTTTTTTTTTTGGGGGGGGGTCCGAGACAGGGTTTCTCTGTGGCTTTGGAGGCTGACCTGGAAGTAGCTCTCAGGCTGGTCTCAAACTCATAGATCTGCCTGCCTCGGCCACCTGAGTGCTGGGATTAAAGGTGTGCACCACCACCGCCGGTCAGTAGGCTTTTTTTGAATGTTATCTAATTTAACCTCTCAGATTGCTTATATCAAGATTTACTTTTTATGGGCAGGAAAAAAAAAAAACTGAAGACAGTATATTACGTTTTCCCAAGTATGATCCTGGCAGGAAGATAATTGCACCATACAGTTCTTTTGACTTCAGAGAACTTAGGGATGGATAAGGACAGTAACAAAGGGAAACCTGGAGATGAGAAAGGGTTGGTGAGGTCTTTGACCCATTTCAGTGGGGGTATTTCTGGCAGCATTGTGCTGGTGCTAATTTGGCAAAGATTCCACAGGTGGCTGGCCGCTTCTGACCTGCTGCACTTGATGAGGTCGTGGGAATGTTTGGGTCCTGGGCTGTAGACGGATTGTGGACTAGATCTGAAGTCTGCCTGCTGCCTGTGACGTGGTTGCTATCCACAGTAGTACAGTGTATGCGGTACAGTAATGCAGCAGTCAGTAATCAGATGGGAAGCTTAAGTCATTGCTGCTTGGTGCCTCAGAACTGCACTGTGATGAGCCACACAGGCCGTACTTTTCCAGTGCAGCTAACTAACTAACTATCAGTAGTTCTGGTACCTCCTGGGTTGTTCTAGACTGAGATTAAACTTATGTCAGTTACATCATTCTGTGTGCAGCCCAGGACCCTTGAGTTTAGTAAATGCATTTTTACACTATGGATAAAAACATTTATATGGTTAAAATTGACCTGGTTCAGATATTTAACCATAGTTGGATTCGGGGCCGCTTAAATCCCGTCTCAAGGCATCGTCTTCCTCCAGCCGTAAAGTGATGTGATTGGGGGGGGGGGGGTGCACTTCATATGCTCTGGGAAACAGCTCACAGTGCCTGACTCCTGGCAAGTTCTTGATGCATACTTACTGTATTTCCATTTCATTTCCTCCTTTATTTATAAACTTGGGGAATGCTTTTACTTTGTATGTGCGCAGTTGAGGCCAGATTGACATTAAGTCAGTCAGTCTCGGAGAGGGGGTGGGGAGGGAGAGATGAATATGAATGGCAGGGCCTCTCAGTGAACTTGGAGCTCCCTGGTTTGGCTGGACTGCCTAGCCAGAGGCTTCAGTATCCTCCCGTCTCTGCTCCTAGCCCTGGGATCACCACCATGTCTGGCTTTGTAGGTGGGTGCTGGGATCTGAACTCAAATTCTCCTGCTTGCACAGCAGGCCCTTTACTAGTTTTATTTCCTTTTCCATAAACAAACATCTTGGATTTTGTATAATTATTAAGATAATCTGTGAACATAGAAGTCACATTTGGATAACTTGGCAGTTATGAATTGCTCCTAACTCTTAGTTGCTTAATAAAGTTTCACTGAGCAAGATGGTGTTAGCCTGGGATTAGGATATTTGCATCTGAAATACATGGAGATGTAGAGAGAGGTAAAGTTCATGAAGTATTGGTTCATCGGACCCTTGTTGTAGTTCAGTCTTAATTTTGTTGATTTGTAATGTGTATGAGGGGGGCACGAAAGAATGGCCTGGATTTTAGCACTCTAGAGCTGAAGGGAAAATAATAAGTAACCGGTCAGAAATCACTAATACAAACAGGAGTTCTGAGGAAAAAGAATAAAGTTTACCAGTTAGCCTATAATAGCTAAAGCAGGACAATCAAGAAGTAAGTGGCAGATTTTGTTTTGTGGCAGTAGCAAGAGTGTCTGTCTGTGGCCTCAAACAAAAGATAGGACCTAGAAAATGTAAGGTCAGTAAAGCATTTTACATGCAGGGTAGACCTCGATTATACTTGTCCACGACTACATTTAGTACCTACAACAAACACCCCTTGGTCTCTAGTAGTTGACTGACGAGTCTTAGTTTATAAGTGAACAAGTAAAACTGTGGGCTAGGTTGTGATTTCAGGTTCTAGTCCTAAGCGTGTAACAGTGGTAGTGTGAAGTTTGTAGGAGACAAATAGTTAAAACCTGTACATTTTTGTCTAAGACCAGAGAGGTTTTTTCAGCGTGTGTGTGTTTGGAATCTGGACCTGTCTTAGAACTAGCTGATGCTGCCTCACTTTGTTAGCCATCTTGATTCCATTAAGAAGCTGACCTACCTCCGGGATTTTTGCTGGGTTTGTGGGATTGTCAGGACCTGGTTCTCTGCCTTAACCATGTACTTTGTGTTACAGAAATCGGCATGGGCTTAACAGGGTTTGGAGTGTTTTTCCTGTTCTTTGGAATGATCCTCTTTTTTGACAAAGCACTTCTGGCTATTGGAAATGTAAGTTTTGGGTATGTGCATTTTAAATTCATCAAGTAGACTTATCTATTAGTGACTGTTGCTTGCTGATAATCATAGGTAGATGAATCTCAGGTTCACTGTTTGCAGTGGCAATGAACCCCATCAGCTGTCTGTGTGAATAGAAGATAGACTTAAGGTTCCCACTTGGTTGGTCAGCTACTCTGTGGTGTGATTTACAGTGGAGTAAATGAATGCTAGCCCTGAATAGGAGTTGGAGGCAGAAGACCTAGCCAGGCATGATGGCTCAGACCTATAGCTCAACACAGAGAAAACCAAGGCAGGAGGATTGCCACCAGTTCAAAGCTAGCCTGAGCAAGGTGCTGTCTCAAAAAATAAAGAAAAGAAAGATGACTTCTTAGCCCCTTGTCTTACTAAGTTTATGAAACGATTTTGGATGTAAATGTCTGGGACTGTGCATGTGATTAAATTGCATAAACAAATTTTTAATAATCAGAAGCTTTTAAAAAGTACATCTTTTGCCGAGCGTTGGTGGCACACGCCTTTAATCCAAGCACTTGGGAAGCAGAGGCAGGCGGATCTCTGTGAGTTCCAGGCCATCCTGGTCTACAAAGTGAGTTGCAGGACAACCTCCAAAGCAATACAGAGTAACTCTGTCTCGGGGGTGGGGGGGGGAGAAGGAGGAGGAGGAGGAAGAAGAAGAAATAAAAAAAGTCCATCTTTTGTCATGGGATAGCTCAGTAGGTAAAGGGGCTTACCACCAGCCAATCCCTGGAACCTCCATGATAGAAGAAGAAAACCACCTAACTCCTCTAAAAACCTTCTAACCTGCAAGCACATGCCCATAGATAGTGAATGAAGCCGTGTGATTATCTTTTTGAATGCTTGGGTGCTGTGTTCCTGACTAGAAACGGAGTGCTTTGATTGCTTGCTTGTGTACGACCCTGTCCATGTGTCAGGGTCAGACAGGAGTTCCAGGGGGAAATAACCCCCTTGTGAGAAGATGGAAAAGTCACTGAATGGTGTTGAAATGTTTTTGGAGACTGTGGCTTACTTTAATTGAAAAGAAAGGAAAACAAAGTTAGTGATCTCTGAGAATATAGCAAACACTTAGCTGGTGGGCTTGGTGTGTATTAGTAAGGAGTAACTTCCCCTGAGGAAAACTGGGGGAACATTTCATACACAGTGTAGGAAAATCATTTCTTACTCTGCTGCTGGCTTTTCTCCTTGGCTTTGCACTGATCCTCTGCCGTCTGTAGCCACCACTGAAATCACCCACCTGTAGAAACCGCGACACCCCACGGTGACTATCACAGAATCAGAGACTACATTTGGTGGCTAATTAAAGCAAGCTGGCCATCCAGGCCTTACCAGCTGTTTATTTAACTAAGCCGTTTACTTTTCCATCCAGGCAAGCTGGGGGAACCGTTGCAGATGTGGGTCTTTCTGTCCCATGTCATCATCTTTCTCCATTGAATGGAGTTAGACAGAAGATGAGGCCAGTGAAGACAGCCAGGACTTAGCATGCATGCACCATGAGTTGACTCTGGCAGTGCGCACTGCAGATCCAAGCAAACCGCCACTTCACTGCTGACTCATCTCCTGGCTCTTCACTTGATGAGGTGTTTAACCTTGTCTGTGTTGTGTTGTCTTTCTCTCCTAGGTTCTGTTTGTGGCTGGCTTGGCTTTTGTAATTGGTCTAGAAAGAACATTCAGATTCTTCTTCCAGAAACACAAAGTGAAAGCCACTGGATTTTTCCTGGGTGGTGTGTTCGTGGTCCTCATTGGTTGGCCTTTGATAGGCATGATCTTCGAAATTTATGGATTCTTTCTCTTGTTCAGGTAAGCCATTATTTCCTTCTTTTAGTGAGCCGGTGTGTCAGGTTACTATTGCAGAACCCTGGGTAGGTGAGCTAACATGGGAGGGCCTCTTCCTGAATGACCGCTGTTCAGACTAAGTCTTAATTTTAGGTCCGTCAACTATAAAAATGTTTCCTGAGTGTAAATGGCTGCCTGAGGAAGGTCATGAAGTATTTGTTAAGTGACTTCAATGCTCCTTCCTCAGGTGACTCTAGCTTGTGTCAGATTGACACACAAAACTACCCCGTACAACTGACCCCTTGTCACCTTGACACAAACATAACTGTTAAGCCACAACCCTTCCTTTCTTATTCATCCCCAAGATCTTAAATAACTTTAAAGGTCCCATGGTCTTCAAACTCAAACACATTTAAAATTGCAATTCCTTTAAAATAGCCAATCTCTTTAAAAATAAAAAGTCTTTTAAAAATTCAAGTCTCTCAACTGAGGGCTCCAATAAAATACTTTCTTACATCAAGATGGACAAAAAAAAAAAAAATCAGGGCACAGTCACAATCAAAGCAAAACAAAATTTCAACCATCCAATGCCTGGGATCCACTCGTGGTCAGCCGGACTCTTCAGAAGGCTTGAGTCACTTGTGTGCCCTTGGCAGCACGCACAGCTTATCTTGTAGGCACCAGCCGGCTCTGCTCCACTGTGGCTACTGTTCTTGGTGGTCTCCCAGTGGTGCTGGCATCTCCAGGATGCCGGGATCCCTTGCTGCAGCGGGGCTACACTTTCACCATGGACCCTCATCGGGTCCCCTTGTGGTGCCAAGCCTTAACATCTCTGCATCACCCCTTCAGTCCTGGGCCTTCAACTGCCACTAGGGCTGCACCTTCACCAATGGCCTCTCCTGGCCTCTCACAGTGCCAAGCCCCAGCTGCTCTCCATGACCCTTCATGCCTTCAAAACCATTGCCACCTGGGTGACTCTTACACATGACCAAGTATGGCTGCCGTCATAAGCTACAATCTTGGCTGCTTCTGGAACAGTTTCTGTGCTCTCAGGAAACACTTCCCAGAAGATTTCACCTCAGCGATGCTGGTCTCTTCTCTATCACCACTAATTTTCTTAGCTTAGCCAGCATCAAGTATTCCACCAAAAATTTCGCCTTAGTTCTGGTATCTTGTTAGTTACAGCTGATTGATTCTCCAGCCCCAGCTAAGCAGAACCCCCGGATCTTAATTCAAAATAACTAATGAGTCTTTAAACTTCCCTCTGAAACTTTGCCAGTCAGGCCTCCATCCTCTGTACTTCTCAACATTCTTATATTCCAAGTTCCTAAAGAACACCCCCACGGAGCTCTTAACACCCAAAAGTTCTTCTAGCCCAAAGTTCCAAAGTCCTTCCACAGTCCTCCCAAAACATGGTCTGCTCTTGTCACAGCAACACCGCACTCTTGGTACCAGTTGTCCTAGTTAGGATTTCTGTTGCTGTGACTAAACACCATGACCAAAGAGCAAGCTGGAGAGGAGAGGGTTTATTAGGCTTACACTCCTGCGTTGCTGCTCATCACTGAAGGAAGTCAGGACAAGAGCTCAAAATGGCAAGATCCCAGAAGCAGGAGCTGATGCAGAGGCCATGGAGAAGAGCTGCTTACTGCCTTGCTCAGCCCACCTTATAGAACCCAGAACCAGCAACTCAGGGATGGCATCACCCGCCATGGACTGGGCCCTCCCCCATTAACCATTAAATGAGAAAATGCCTCACAGCTGGGTCTCAGCGAGGTGTTTCCTCAGCTGAGGCTCCTTCCTCTGATGACTCTAGCAGGTGTCAGCTTGACACACACAAGCACCCAGTACAACATGGTTTGGTATTTAGCAGGACGTGGATAGCCATGCCATTTTCTTATGTAAATGTGTTGCTTTATTGTGGCTGCTTCTTGACCACAGCATGCTCAGTTTATGTGCACGGTGAGAGACCCAGCGCTGAACACATGGGAATGTTGATCCACTGCTGTTTGATGGGAACAAGTTAGGCAGTAAGCAGAGCGTGTATGTGAGAAGATAATGTTCATATTTTAAAATGCCAGGCACCGTGTCACCTAACCCATGAAAATGAATTAAGTGCCAAATCTGTCTTAGGAAAGCTACCATTTCTGTTAAAGAAGACAAACTGTAAAGGTCTCAAACACACAGTGATAATGGTATGACAGGGTACAAAGACACAGAACTTTCAAGAGCAAAGCAAAGGGGGGACCTTATCTAGGGAGAGCCAGTTCAGTTAAGCTGAGCCCTTTCTCACTGTACTCTCATCCTTGTGAACTGCATTTCAAGAACCACATACATGTTATTTCTTGTGTGTTCTTAAACTGCTTCTTAGCTTAGAAGTGGCCTCACTCACCCACAGATAAACTAACTAGAGGCTGTGTTGCTTCTGTGGGCATATATCCACACCAAAAAAGGACAAGATGTGAGGCTGACCTTCTGAGAGGTGTTGTTTGAAGAGTTCACACGTACAGTCTCAGCAGTGGAGCAGAAAGCCCATGGTCTGATCACAGCACAGCGAGGACCCATTGTACTCTGGGCACCATTTTGCCAGTAATCAAATTGTTAACTGTTCATTGTAACTGGTGACTCTGAAGTCTCTGTTTCCCTTGGCTAGTGGTTCCTCCTGGTAGAAAGCTCTGATGTGACAACCTGTCTTCTGCCTCCCAGGGGCTTCTTTCCTGTGGTTGTTGGCTTTATCAGAAGAGTGCCTGTCCTTGGATCCCTCCTAAATCTACCTGGAATAAGATCAGTAAGTAGTCACATGTTTAGCAATACATTTTTAAAATCCTGTAGATGGATAGATTGTGATGCCTTTTTACTGGGAGCTTGAATCATTGATGTGAGTGAGTCATTATGATATAAATGATTGTGTCACTTAGATCCTGGTTACCATGAAAACCAGAAGCTAGTAAGTTCGTAGGTCTGTGAAACCTGACGTTTTGTTTGAACATGCCATTTTCAGTATTGTTTTCTATTTTGGGTGTTACTCTGGTTGATAATGCTAAGCTACTTTTGTGAATTGATAAGTGAAACCCATCCTGCTTTCAGGGTATGTTCTGTGGATGTGTAATACTGACCTGCCATGGGGGCTCCATCCATTATGGGGTCTCAGAAGCCTCTCAGGCTTTACCTGCCTTCCCGACTCCCTATGGCAGACTGAGGATGGCTTTGCCTGCCTTCCTTGTATACATCTCTATCATAACATTTACCTGTTTTAGTTATCAAGAAGAGAGCTCCAGGGCTGTGATCCTAGTCGTCATAGCAGAGTGGGCAGAGGGCTGTTGGCTGTTCTTCTCCAGGTCCCAGCATAGTGCCTGCCACTCACAGGAGAAATGCCAAACACTTTTCCCAAGTCAGTTGAATGAAGGCTGACATTTCACTGACCTCAGAGATCCAGTCAACCTCATGACAACTTTAGGTGACTTCTGTCTCCCTTCGTCTGAAAACTTAGTGAGATCCTACAATACGGAGAGAATGCTGGAGATGGACTCCAGCTGAGAGGGAGACAATCCTTTGGGCCCTAGAGCTTACCCATAACAGAAGTCACCTGGGGAAGAATCTTTGTTCCATGCTCATTCTGAAGAGCCAGGTTAAAGTACAGAAGGTGGCTGAGCCCATCTGTCTGTCTGGAGATTGCAGGGAGAGCCACAGTGTCCCCTGAGTTCTTGGCTAACAGATACTTCCAGGAAAATGAGCAGCACTGTAAGCCCAGTCCTCTCCATAGCAGGACAGTCTTAGAGGCAAAGCACATTTATCTGTGGAGAGCAAAGACAGTGTTTTGACCACTGAAATTTGTTTTAAGGGTCTAGTGAAGCTACAGATATTATCAGTCACCTGTTGATCATTTCAAAGGTTGGTACCTCAGCTTGGGGTGGGGTGGACCCCAGCTCCATTCATTCTTATTACGAGACTCAGCTTAGGTATTATTTATATATAGAATGACGTTTGAATTTGCTAATAAGACTGTAGTTCCCATAACTTATTGTGTCCTCAGTTACGAATTCTATAATGATTGGTGTAAATGGGCAGCCAGTACAGTAGGAGTCTATAGTCAGTACTAAGTAACAAATTTGAAACCTGAGTGCAGAGGCACTGCTGGCCAGAACTCTCCGCAGTGCCCTACCTTGCAGCATTGCCTTGATTGTGTAGCTGCTGCAAGCTGTACATAGTCACCATCTGGGATGCCGAAGTAAGACAGACTTTGTGATTTGGGATGGAGTAACCAGTCAGTAACCATTTACATGAGTGTTCGTTGACGTTCATATTTGACAACTATACATTTACGTTGGCAACACTGAATGTTTCGGTGTCTTTGCCCCCTTCAGTATGATGTCCAGAATGCCCATTTAACATAATTTTAGTTGATAGCTGTTGTTTATTACTGAACTTAATTGAGTTAAATCTGTTTGTCCAAAGACCACATAGGCCCAGAAGAGATCCACAGGAATGGTCAGTGGAAATATCTTATTGGGTTCATTAATGCATGAGTGGCTGGCATTTCAGTCTTTTCTTTTTGTTGAGCTAGCGGTGTCAGTGTCATTTTATACATTATTTTATTCATTGTGTTGCATTTTTCATGTTTCACCCTTAAATTCATGTGTATGACATGTCATGCAAAAGCAACTTTGAGAAAAGTAAATTTTATACACACCTCAGAAGGTGGTGGTGGACACCATCCAGTTAACCACTATGTCATGCCTTGAATTCCCGCAAATCTTGCAAAACTGGATGTTTTAAACCAGCATTTAAAGTGTTAGTTCAATACTGTACAATGCCTGAGCTCCCTTTAATTATGTTTTTCTTCTCCTTACAGTTTGTAGATAAAGTTGGAGAAAGCAACAATATGGTATAACAGCAAGGGAACTGAAGACTTTAAATATTTTATTATTTATGAACCCTTTGAAGACTATTCAGCACAAAGTTCAATTTCACAAACTAGCTTGTAAAGTCCTTCAGAAGTTTAAAACACACACCCTCCAAAGTTCCAACAGTTCCGGCAGAAGCACTGACAGCAGGCTTGTGACCAGGTCATCTGAGCGCAGCGGCTGGAGAGGGTGAAGCCTGTTACGATGCTCAGTGACTTAGTGGCTTGCTGCAGCCTGAGCAACAGCCGTTACAGAGAACCGTGGTGTCTGTTACTTTATTTTGTTTGTTTTTAGAAGATTCAGGAACACCAGTAGGCATTTGATTTTTTTTTTTTTTATTATGTTTCCAGATATTTCTAGGTGTGCTGGGTCTCTGATAATGATGCCTGAATTGGATTGGATTATGTCGTCTCCATGTATCAGCCCAAGGAAAGCCCAGTTTCATGTGTGAATCACTTTTTGTAAACATGAAAATAAAACTTTTGTGGTCCTTTTGAATCTTAATATTTTGGAGCCAGATAAAAATCTGAACTAGATATTCTTTTTCAGAATACACAGAGGTCATTTTGAGCTGTTACTTCTCAGTCATAGCTGACCAAGTGCTTTCTTGACTCTACAATACTCTGGATGCACAAATCTCTTGAGTATGTCCCGGGTGTGTTCGTACAGTCTGCTGCACACAGACGCCAAGCAGAGAGCATTCTGACCATGGAGTAGTCTGCTATGGCGGCACACAGACGCCAAGCAGAGAGCATTCTGACCATGGAGTAGTCTGCTATGGCGGCACACAGACGCCAAGCAGAGAGCATTCTGACCATGGAGTAGTCTGCTATGGCGGGTGTTGGAATCAGTTGTTGAGATGCTAAATGATGCACATCAGATGGCTTTTCCCATGTCATGATGTAGTTTTTCTTATGGTTGTGTTCTTATGAAATTTGGCCACAGTTTCCTACCTTGATTTCACAATTTATGATGACATTGAAGGTGTGTGACGTGTTAAAGGCATGATTCTGTGACTGTGAGAAGGGCTGCTATTTCATCTTAATTTTTCCTCCTATCTTCAGCTTTATTGTAACACCCAAAAAGCAGCAAGCATCACATCTGCTTCCCCCACTATTCTCCATCTTGAGTTAGGAGGAAAGATGCCCCATTGACATGCAAAAACTATTACATTATAACTAAACTTGTGGGGTTCCTCAGAAGTGGGGAATCTTGTCATTCCCTTCCTTATCTGGTCATGGGAGCACTTCCTCAGATGTAATACTATTTATCTTACCACTAATGATTGAACTATTTATTTTTAACACTTCCAATGCTTTTTAATCCAGAAAATCATAATTGAAATTGTATTTATTTACAAATGTCTTTCTGTGAGACATTACCATGTGTGTTGTTTTTAGTTAAATTTCTTGGTGCCAGGAGAATCCCCAGCCTTGCCAGTCTGCAGAAGGAAGGACTGGTTTGTAGTGGGATGGCTCATTCTTGTGGAATACTGTCGTGTTTGGCACTTGCATATGGTGTAACCTGTGAAAACTCGATAAATGGAGAATCCTACCTCAATAGCTCATGGGATAATGAAAGACCTGGCGCTGTGTCTGATGTTCCTCACACCTTCCCTGGAATCTCAGTGCTGTGCTTTGAGAGCTGACTCGGGTGAGATGCCCTTAGACTCCTCTTAGGCTTTGGTCCATATGATTTGATAGTGGCTAATGTCACTCTGTTAGAACAGGAGTCTGCCATTTAAATCCTTCCTCAACGTGACCCCATCAAAGCAAATGTCCCCTTTCAGCAGTCTGGTTTCAGAACACACTGGACTTGAGAAGATGCCAGAAGCTCATAGTTCCTTGTAAGGCAGAAGGCTGGGGTGGCTTTCAGTTTCAGGTGAGTTCGGTGGACCTGTGAATGCTTGACTGCTAACCGCCACTGCACTTCTTAGTCAGAACCTCGAGGAGGCACTGTCTTTAAAACAAACCAGCCTTTTGACTTCTGGAAGCCCTATTCTTAAGGGTTCCCTCACCCCACCCACTTCTAAAATCAGCCTTTTGTCTTTGTGACAAAAAAAAAAAACAACCCTTTGGTTATTCCCCCAGATGGAGGAAAAGTTCCAGTACTCAGCCTTAAATGTTTCTGTCATGTTCAAATGTGTCTTCTGTAACAGAAACATGCCTGCAATGTTGTCCCCTACAGTTCTCTGGAATTCAGCGGCTTTAGAAGTCTCATGGTCAAATTCTATACTCTAACAATGGCGTATTGTAAATACACTTGTCTTACCTCAATAAAAGGGTACTTTTCTATTCATTGGTGGTCAAGTTTATCATTGAAGCTTTAAGACTTAAATAGCACTATAAAATAATCTATCTTCTTTTAAAATTCAGGCCAATGTGCAATTTTGTCAAGTGGCCTCAACGTTTTCATTTCTAAATTTCTTAAGTACAGTCATAGGACAACTAAATTAGCAAAGCACATTTGAAAACCAGTAAAATGTATGAAGAATATTGAGTGGATGGAGATAGCCCAGAGGTTCATAGCTCTATCAGAGCGTCCAGATTTGGTTCCTGGCAACCATGAGGCATCTCACAACCTTCAATCATGCCAGGTCAAGAGAATCCGGTGCCCTCTTTGGGCCTCAGGCACCAGGCATATGCATGATAAAGGCACAGGCAGGCAAAACACTCATACATACAGCTGTTAATGAATATCCATTGTCTTGGGCCATATGGTGTTTTTTGTTTTGTTTTGTTTTTTAATGGACATGTTGGTGCAGCCTTTAATCCCAGCACTCAGGAACCAGTGCTAGCAGATCCCTGTGAGCTGCAGGCAGCCAGTCCTACTCAGGTATGTCCTCAAAAAACACATTGAACTCAGAAGTCTGCTAAGCATTTGGTTATTCAACAGATTTTCTGAGTGTCTCTTGGGAGCTTAAAGCCCATGACCAAATGTTAGCAATTAGAAGAAGAATATGCCCTGTCTACAAGGAATTTTTAACTCTTCAGCTCCAAACTTACTCTTGAGTTGCACTGAATCAGATGGTGGCAAAGTCATGTCCAGACATCCACGCCTTTCATTTTCTTCCACTTTGAGCCTCCAGCTATGTAATAGACTTGTGTTTTTTCAGATGTGTGTTGTGTATTAGGGTTTCCAAAGAAACGGGACCCATAAAATGAGCATGTCACAGTAGTGTTTAGGTTGGCGATCAGATTGAGTCTAACCATCCCTGTCTGCCCACTTTGAAAGGCTAAGAATCCTGGAGCCTCCCAGTCCTTGAGGCCAGATGCCCGATACCCTATCTGATGCTGAAGGCCTCAGGGATTCCTGGAGAGCTGCAGTTCTTCAGTCCATGCTGGAAGACCAAAGGAACTGAGTTCTGATACAGCAAAGGACTGAAGCTGCAGAGAATAGATGATAGCCTGGCCAGCAGAGGAGGGCAGGCAAAAGCAGCTGCTTTTCCCTCACACCATCTGGCCCACTGCCAGAAGGTTCTGTTCCTCTTGAAGGGTATTCCCTGTTTTCCTCAAACCTTCTAGGTGATTCCCTCACAAGCCTGCCCACAGGTGTCTCCTAATTGATCCCAGAGACAGGATCATGTCTTTGGAGGACAAAAAAAAAAAAAAAAAAAATGCTATCAGCATTAATTTGGGGAGTTTTTCTCAAACATGATTTCTTTTGCTATTCTAGAAATGTATTTATTGTAGGGTGAGGGGTTGGGTGTTGAAAGACAAAACCTATGTTTCTTTTTTGTTTGTTTGCTTTTCGAGACAGGATTTTCTCTGTATTGTTTTGGAGGCTGTCCTGGAACTCACAGAGATCTGCCTGCCTCTGCCTCCTGAGTGCAAACCTTTGTTTCTTTTTGTTTCAATGTAAATCCCAAGATTCAGAACTGTCACTGCTACTGTGGATTTTCTTTCACTACGTGTAGCCCAGGGCTTTTTAGGGAAATCTGTTGTGGTTGCTGCCATTAATTACAAAATTTAAAATTAGCAGTGAATTTTAGAATGAGTGGGATTAATTTTCTAAGTTCAAAGGGCTTACAATATTTTATTTTCTGGAAATTTATTACACTTGAATACTTGTGATAACATGGATGAAGCGAGTCTTCATCAACAGTGGTATCAGCATAAAATCTGTTATTATAAGCAAAAAACCATGGGCCAGTGCACCACTAGCCTGACAAGTATTTACTGAATCCCATATTAAAACTTGATTACAGTTCATAGTCAATGGGAACTGAGTATCTGGAGTCTGTTACATATCTATCCCACCACTTGGGAGACTGAAACAGGAAGATTGCTAGGACTTCATGGCCAGCCTGCCCTAAATAATGAAACATCTTGACTGACAACTGATAGATAATTGAGGATGGATAGATGGATGGATGGATGGATGGATGGATGGATGGATGGATGATCTAGCACAGCTCCCAAACCTTGTCCAGGAGCCACAAGTTCCAACTTGAGTCCCGTTGTTGACTGAAGTAAGATGTGTGGACATCACTTTCCTGTGGCATGACTCAGTTGTAAGGACATCACTAGATGCGTAGCTCCCCTTACCTATCTGCTGGGCCAAGACAGCTGGATCTTTCTGGGTCCTTTCCACTTTCTACTTTTACACTGATTTGGTAGCAAATGATTCTTAAGGCCCAGTGTCTTACGATGTATATCCATCCCTGGGTTTCCTAGGCACCAGGAAATGCTGAACCAATCAAATGCAGTTATCCAGCTTTGTTGCTGTATCCTCTAGCCCCTAGTGTGTTGAAGTCAGTTTTGTGGAATTGGAAGGTCTCTGTCAGCCACAGTGAATGAGATGAACCCTGCAGAAATCTCTACTTCACATCCTGACCTTTACACAAGGTAACTTGTGACTGGAGAGGATGGGTCATCGAGGGCCGTCTGTCTTCCCTAGGAAAGTGAAATGCCAGGACAACGGAAGTCACTCTTGATGTCTTCAATCAGGCATGAATCATTGGTCACCCTCTTTGTCATTGTTAAATAAAGGGGCGGGGGAAGACTTTGTAAATAGAGTTGATACTATGAAGAAGTCCCTTAAGGTGAAAGTAATGAAGTAAACTTGCTCCCTAAGTGAACATATCTGAAAACAGCATGCTTCAATCTCTGCCATGGGAAACTACTCATGATAAACAATGGCATTCTTAAGCCTTGAGTCTTCTGATGTGGTGCTGTGACTGGAGTTTTAATGCAAAATCCCAGCTGTGGCAGCCCCAACAGACTGGGCTGGCAGCTGGTGTCAATACCCAACTGAAAAGATAATCATGGAAATCGGAGAAAGGAGATGTTTCTCTTTGTACATTAGGAAGGTGACTCAAGGGGCTCAGTGGTCCCCAGTTAATCTTTGGGTAGACTACTATGAGTTCCAGGTTTCAACAGAGGTAGAATTGGGGCAGGAATGCGAGAGGTATGCAGGCCTGACTGCAGAGTGGCCCAGTAATGCTGTCTTCGCTCTGATTCTACAGCATCTAAAGAAGTCATGTGCATGCTGGCACATACCTGTAAATCCCAGAATAGGCAGAGGCAGAAGGATCAGGCTGCAATCCTGTCGCAGCTGGGCCTCAGTGAGGAGTCTTCTCCCTAGAAAAATGAGCTTCTAAGAGCCTCTTGTGCCCGTGAGCTTGTGAGGCAACTCTGAGTTCAGAGATGATGTTAGCCCTGGTACTGACATTACCCTTGGCTGAGCAGCTAATCAATTCCAATATATGTCACTTTAAACAGTGACAGGTGATTGTTGTTCAGATGGTACCTGGACATACTAGAGCCAGGTTTCAAAATCCAAATTGCCTTAGTGAGGAAGGCATAATGATCTCTAATGAATATACCTCTAAGGAAGGCATGAGAGCCCGTTTGATTGGCAGCCTGCTTGTGCATACTGTCAGCAGAAAAGGTTCAGTATTTTGACCGATCATATTTTGAACCAAGCAACAGGGCTCTCTCTCTTGATTCAGAAGTGCATCCGTTTTTAAAGCCTGTGACCTCGCAGCAGTATCTTCCTGGAGGTGGTGCCCTCTGTCAGGCCTTTTCAAAGCAGCATCTGGCATGCTGTCCATGGTGAGATCCTAGTATTGATAACATGTCAGAGCTATTCCCTTTATTTGTTCCACAAAATGGGAAATGGCAGCTTTGACGTAAAACACCTACTTAGAGATTCACCAGGTAAACTGAGTGTGATTGTTCCCCTTAGACCGGAAGTTTTGGTGATTCATTTTCCTGATCCTCTTCCTAAAACTTCCATGGTTTGTTTGTTTGTTTTTGTAAGATTTTTTGCTGCATTTCTTTATCTGTGTGTATGAGAGAGAGAGAGAGAGAGAGAGAGAGAGACAGAGAGAGACAGAGAGACAGAGAGAGGAGAGAGAGAGAGAGAGAGAGAGAGAGAGAGAGAGAGAGAGTGCCACAGCAAATATGTAGAGGTCAGAAGACAGCTTTTCGCCTTATAGGACCTGGGGATCAAACTCAGGCCCTCAGGTTTGCTGAGTATCGCTGTACCCACTATACCAGCTCCCTGGCCCCTAGTGCTTGGTTTAATCTGTCTCCTAAGACAGTGGGTACAAGCCACCACTTCAGCAGCTCTGGCTGCTCTGATGGGAGAACAGGCTGCAAATCCCTAAATATGAACTCTTGTCTGTTTTCCATTCTCATTCACTAGCTATAATGGATGGTCAGTTGTCAAGTTGATGAGATCCAGAGCTTTTGGTATGGTATCATTCCTTGGGCTCAGATCCTGCACTGTGTATAAGTGAGCTGAGCACAAGCACTCATTACTCTCAACTTCTCTGGATGCAGTGTGACCAGCTGCTCTCAGCTCCAATCCCCTTGGCTTCCCCACTATGATGGACTGCATGTTTGAACTATGAGCCACAATAAACACTTTCCCTTTTTAATCTTATGGTATCTCAGCATCAGGAACAGTACCTATGACACTAGTCAAACCTCAATTTTCCTGTCCTTATCCAAAGACCAACCTGAACATCAAGCATCTAAATCTCAATCTCATTTCCAAGAATTAGCAAATAATATCCACTCTTTAAACATCAATCCCCACATTCCACATCCAGGCAAAACCACACACACACACACACACACATACACACACACATATACACACATACATACACACATACATACATACACACACATACACATACACACACAATACACACATACATACACACAT